AAAGTATAAATTTACGCCGGATTGAATGTTATAATAAGCCGTCGTTGATCTTGAGATGAAGCTGAAAATGCGTCGGGAAGAACGTTTAAGTGAGGGTAGCATATAAAGAAATGTACATAGCACGAACGCTCACGGCTAAGCTTCTGGGTTGGGTTTGTCCTTTTTCTCTGGTGGTTTCCGTCGGCATGAAATGCACAAGGGGAAAAGGTTCCAATACAACTCTAAGTTCTTAAGGCTGGTCAGTAATACTACCAGCGCGAGGAATCAAAAAAGCATTTAAAGGTGCTTTGAACTGGGCGTCAGATGGAACATGAACAGCATTCTGAGGAAGATTATCCTTCAACTATCTACTCGAAAGTATAAAAATTGTTGTCTAATGGAAGTGTCTCCCCTGGGCTTGAAAATCCCACCATTTCCTTGTCGTGTATTAATTGGGTCAACGGGGAAATCCTATCGGCCATGCGCAAATAGTACAAGAGAGTGTTAGGTTTCTTTGGAGGTGAGGATGGTCAAGGAGAAAGAGTTCAAGTACCTAGAGGCGCGCTTCGTAATCAACAAACGTCTCGGCAGTTTTGTGGGCTTCCTGAGGGAGGGATGCGTCCTTCTCGCTTCCCGACCAATAGTTGGTACATTAAATAATTGGCTGACGTGAGCCTTATAGAATATTCTGGAAGTCTATGTGAGTAATACGGGGAAGGCGCAACAAACTACCTGTAGAACGACGAATGCTTCTTGAGTCATTTTTTCAAGATGGAGTGAGGAGGACAGATCTGACGGTCAGATACCCAAAACATTTTGGTATCCAAACTCGTGTTGTCTTCTCGCCCATTCTTCGAACGACATCTGCACTCATTTTGCAATTCCGACGAAGGTGCCAGTCCACAGATCACTTCTTTGTAGCGCCGACAACCGTTCGGAGAATATTAGTGTTTGAATTTCAACGTTTCGGATCGTTTGCAAATGGTGGACGTGGACCCGGAAGAGCATCCAGAACGAGGAAAAGTCCAAAGAGAGATGCCTCAGTAACTCAGACGGAGATCGGAGGCGGTTGAAGGAACTGTCACTTGGAATGTTCTGCTTGATGGGAAGGCATTAATCCAGATCAGGGTTCCACGTCGCATCACGAAAGACACGATTGTGCGGAGAAGTCAAAAGAGTGGGACTCGACTGAGTTATTTTAGTAAGCAATAAATATAGCGCTTACTATGATTTCTCCGGTTGGTTTGAGTTAAGCTGTCCAATACGAGAGCGTGTTCTTCGCGAACGAGCGCTTCCGGATGAAACCATATTGTGTTGGGGATGTTAAGTGACTGGTAGTGAGGCTATTTAGGCGGTCCGTTTCAAAATGCATTCCATCACCTTGCATGGCGTACTGGCTAGGCACATGGTCCTGTAGCTGCTGAGCTTCTCTTCCTTGAGAGGCTGACGAAACACCAGAAAGAAGTGTACTTACAGGAGAGATGCTTCCATTTCGATCATTGTATAAACCTCATACGGCACAAATGAATTGAGGGGACTAGTCTTGGGCAAAAATTGGCGGACATCTTCCTTCACAAGAATCAAGTTTGTTAGGGGTTCCCGATAACTGCGTCCCGTGGGGACTAAATAGGATGAGGTTTCTGGGGAAGAACACCAGTCTATATAGCATTCTCTGTGGACTCCAGATACCATCACACATCAGGTTAATGTGTATTCATGTCTGCGCAAGTATCAAACACGAAGGGACATCCCTGTCTTCACAATGCACACGATAAACGGGCATACAATTCAGTCCGAGCCACATACGCGCTCGCACAGTACTGAAATTCAACTGAGCTCCACAAACCCCAGGGATAACCGCTGAACACGTGTAGCAGCGTCGGTGCAAAAGAGACACTTCCAGCGTCCGAACTTTTACTCAGGAACTCTCAACAGATGTCTTCGAACGATAGGGCACTTTTTGGTTTATTCCACCTTTCGCATTGTATCTAGCTTTATCAAGTGCACTTAAAGACTGTATTCGTCAACATTTTGTTACAGGATATTTTTAGTGCTTGCCACCTTGCGTTAATTAACTTAATTACGTCACAAGTAGGGCACTTACAACAACGATTATTGCCTGTTCATTAGTGTCATTTATGGGTGGTGACCAGATCCGCTACGGATTGTATTTAGCCTGCTCGGATTCTAAAGGGTGCGATAGCATGCCAAGACCAAGACGTCGTTTGGACGACTTTATTTAGTGCAGATGCAGGATATTCGCCGGACTCGATGGGCTATGACTCCAGCTAGGAAGGTTTGGGAGTGCTGAGTTCACCTCAAAGCAAATGACAAACGATTCGTAGACGACTAGCTGGAGGATAATATACCAAATGTTTGCCGGAGAGCGGGATCTTTTTCCAGAGTGACGTCAATGACGCTGGCGAAGAAAGAAGATCTAAGCCATACAGCGGAATTCCAATCCAAGCTTACTTTCGTATACCAAGAGGCTTGTTGGAAAGAATGAGGTAGCTTGTGGACACCAAGCGCAATATATAAATGTATATTTCCTGCCCCCGCAGGTGAGGCAAACAGTTTTCGGATCACCAGGAAAGTTAGTAGATTAAATAGTTGTATACCGGGTCTGGTTTCGAGCATTCATAGGGTCCATGACAGGCTATCTATTCGTCTCCTGCCTCGGGCATTCTAATGCCTCATGTTCATCCGCTATGTTCTTGGATCCTCGGAGGCTGGTTTGAGCATACCCCTCGCACGTGCTAGACATGACTCCCCGCCACCCCTGACTGTAGCGTTCAATTGCTGCCCGTTGTAGATCGGGCGAACATGTTATTGCCGGAAAAGTTATTGTAGAGTGACCAACGATTTTAGAAAGAAAATCAAAGGAGGATTTGAAGAAATAATGAGAATTTGTGTTTTAACGCGTCTGTGAAGAGTCGACAGTAGAAATCAGAAGCTGATCGAGTATGATGACAGATTACGTAGAATAGGCCATCCAGGTCCAGGACGCAGGCACCGCAACAGTTAACAGAATATAAGTGCTTGTCAAAGAAAGATAACGCAACATGGTATTTTGTGTCATTCCTTAGTAGGTTGTGGTAAAAAATGCAACTGATTATGCTGTTATATACAGTTGAGTGAGCGGCATATCGTCGCAATCCACGGATTGGCGCGAATCCGCTGGCCCACAGAAGCGTCATTTTTGGGGTATGCTCCAAACTTTTACGTAGGTTATTTTGTCATCAGGAGTCAAACAGACAGTAAATCTCTCTTGTGTAAAACTTGGTGTAATAATACCGGAACACATGCACACGAGAACTTGGTTCCTGTTTGCATGTACCATTAACCGCAAGCGAGTACGCAAATCCAACCGGACCCTGAGTCTTCTGTTTGCAAGGTGAACAGATATCAAATGCTACTGGTGAACGCTCAAATAACAAGGTCATCAAAGAACATCTTCATTTGTTGTCTGAAAATGTGAGCCAAGGAAACTGGTTAATTGAATGCCACTGTTAGACTAGCAAATCGCACACTTGAATGCTCTGGAAGATGTCAAAACCAAAGTCCAACGAAAAAGCATAGCACTGACATAACAACTTAATTCATTAAATGTAAATTTTGTTACGTCGTTGATCTTCAGCCTAAAATGGCGCTGGGTAAACAGCCCGAACGTTTTAGCATGGAGTCGGGTAGACATCAGCACATCTGGGAGATAACATATGTCTGAACCAAAACACTCCGGCTGGTTTTTAGTGGAAGGTTGACCGTTTGGATTAAATTTCATGCCTACAGCCTGCCTGGGATACTATGTAGCAGTCTTAAGGAACAAATGTACTGACGATGTTGAACGAAGCATTTGCAATAGACTTATCGTGTTCACCCCAGATGCTAAACCGATGGAAAAATTATCCGTTGCTGTGCGTAGAATGCAGTACATCGTGACTTGGACGAAAAAGCGACTTCCCGAAAACTATCCGAGGAACATTTCGCTGCTCAACTATAAATATGGATAAAATGCAACACTGTACTACACATGAACCAGGATGGCAAAATTTTTGGCACCATTAAAAATTTTAGACCGGCGTTGGAAAATGGACGGTTTATTCTCAGTTTTCTGGCGGGATTAATAAATTGCGCTAGCTGAAAGAAGCTTCTAATGGCTTCAAAATTCTGTACGAAGGCGAGAGTTTGCGTGGCGTGGTGAGTTTTCTTCGTCGTTTTAGAAACGGAACACACCGAGCCAAAAACTGGAACAGATTTGCCATTAAAACTGAGGAGTCTTGCTTGCATGCAGCCTAAATTGGATATGGATTTCCTTCATCAAACCGATCAAAGTAGACTTTAGCAAAGCTTGTATGTCTGGTTTGGCTAGTGGACACCATCAAGTATGCCAAGGATTCATAAATTTATATACAGACATTTGCCCAAGTTTCCCGGGGCGAAAAGAGGATGTAGCAATGCGGGAGGCAGTAATCTTCCCAGCGCAAGGATTTACATATAGAAGTATCTAATAGTGCTTTAGACTGAGTGCAAGGTAGTGCGTGGACAAATGTCGAAAGCAGGTTATTCCATGCATCAACCACCCGAAACAAGAAAACATTCGTCTAAAAAAGTGCGCACTGAGCCTGAAAATATTCTTACCATGTTCCCCAATTTTAGCTGGATCAACGGTGAAAATCTGTGGGCCAGACCCTTTTTAAAAAGAGCATAAGGAAGTATCGGTTCTCCTTGGCGGTGACAACGCACAGCGGAACGCGTTTTATTGTCCACGGATCTAAGGCCGGCGATATTTTGCTGGTGGTTCGTGGACACACTCAGTGAGGGTCAGGTCGAGAGTGGAAAACAAGGTTGGCATATTCAAGTGGCGGTTCAACGTGGGCAAAATGGAGTATCTGGAAGTCTATGCGAGTGTTACGATGGGAGGTTTGCCAAATCATCCGTAGATGAGAAAATGCCTTTTGTGCCGGTTTTTCACGGTGTAGTGGAATGCACTCACTTCAAGGATGTCAGACAAATAAATTCACTCTGGCGTCCACTATCGTGATGCTTTCTCGTCCATTCACGCCAGGCACGACGAATATATTCGCCGAGTCTCCCTCAAATGCCACATGTACGCACTTTCTGTCATTCAGAGGAAGCTGCCGGTTCAGTATTGGCTCCTTGCAGTGTCTACGTCCGTTCGAGGGGTGCTGGGTCGGGAAATCTATGGTTTCAACTCGTCCGAAAAAGTACACATGGACCTGAAAGAACGTTGGGAAGTTAGTATACGTGCATCAGAAACAGCGGATTACTCCAAACTTAGATGTAATAACTCCATTGGAAATACGCGCCGCAAAAAACTAGGTTGAGGCTTCTTTCATTCGGAATGATCTGTCTGATAGGGACGTCTCAACCAAGTGTAGAATTTTCCGTTAAATCCCATAAGACTCGAGTTTGTGGAGCAGCAACAAGTGTAGCACTTGACCGGATGTTTCGAGAAATCGAATGATGTTGCATCCGATGTGTCCCCCGTCCTTGGCTTGGGTTAAACTGTCAATGAATACGAGCATGTTAGTCACGCAAGTATAGTTTTGGGATAATCCGTGTTGAGCTGGGTACATCAAGTTGCAGGTAGTAAGATGATCTAGGATGGCCTACTTTAGGAGGCGTTACATGTCGTTGCACGGTTTGCCAGTGAGGTTGATGGGCCTGTAGCTGCAGGGCGGGAGTTGGTAAACATGTCTGTGGACTTGAATGACACTAGCTTCCTTTTAAGGAGACAAAAGGTTGCCTTTGCCGAGCGATTGACGAAACACCAAGTAGAAATGCATTGCCAGCGTAAACGACGCTTTGTCCAACCCCAACGCGCAGAACCAGTTCGTCCAACGCAAGAACTGACGAGTGTCTCCCCCTAACAGGAACAAGTTGGTTATGGGCCGTTCGTAATTACGCCTTGGAAAAGTTGGGTGTGACGAGTTCAGCAGGGCAGAGTTCAGTCCTGCATAGTGTTCTCTGTAGACTTCAAGTACCACTATTGTGACACTGGTGGGTTTTCCGTTCCTGCCCATCAGGGAGAGCACGGCTGACTTGTTTCTGCGGTGATGCCTCATGTACTTATATTACGCATTTTTGTTTTTCCTGGCGGAGTCTCTTGGTTTGATTTCTGATTTACAGCGGCTCCGCACTTTACGAAACGCCAGGTCAACTTCTGTCTCCTATTTTCAACGTTTTAGAAATAGCGAACTGTTCGACTGCGCGCTCTTTTTTGGCCGAAAACTGTGTCAGCCTCGGGAACTNGCAGACAGAGTTCAGTCCTGCATAGTGTTCTCTGTAGACTTCAAGTACCACTATTGTGACACTGGTGGGTTTTCCGTTCCTGCCCATCAGGGAGAGCACGGCTGACTTGTTTCTGCGGTGATGCCTCATGTACTTATATTACGCATTTTTGTTTTTCCTGGCGGAGTCTCTTGGTTTGATTTCTGATTTACAGCGGCTCCGCACTTTACGAAACGCCAGGTCAACTTCTGTCTCCTATTTTCAACGTTTTAGAAATAGCGAACTGTTCGACTGCGCGCTCTTTTTTGGCCGAAAACTGTGTCAGCCTCGGGAGCTTTCTTGACAATGCTGCTATACATCTCATACGCTGAAATCGATCCCAGACTAAACTGATCAAGATGTACGGCAGACGTTTCGAATTCCCGTTTAATGTTCTGAATTCCCAATCACAGATGAAATCAAAGATCAGTACACAGTGGTCACTAGCCAGAAGAAACTCTGCGATGCCCATGGCCTACGTCGACGTGCGTTGCTGTAGCTGCCTTCGTCAATATCGAGGCTACACCGCGCCAAAACCTACCTCGTCAACCAAACAAAAATGACAAACCAAATTTGCTGCTCCCAGGAGTGGACACATACAACACATATAAACATACATTTAGACTCCCGACTCTCCACTATCAACATCCGAGGATAGCATCGAAAAATCTTCGTCACGCACCACTCACTGATTAAAGCTGATAGTAGTGCTTCGGGGACTGGGGACCTTCTCCCTCGCATCCACCTTCCTTCCTAGATTGTCCTAGTATTGTCCTTCTTACTAACAACCCCCAGGAATTTACACCCCCCAGTCGTTACGAGTTTGGTTTACCCTCACCACACCGCCTCTTAGCCCACATGCAGTAAACTGTCCTGTCTCAGGTAGTATAGTTATATTGACAATCTTAGCTTCACTCTGATGACTACACTACTGAGTACAGATTCATCCTTATCCTGCCTTGTTTAGTCACCTGATGTCCTTCCATAACTGTGGTAGACGATCATTTTTT